TATTATTGCCTAGACGTTCAACATGTTTATCCCATTTAAGGTGGTTATCAGTCAGGACACCTAAGTATTTAACACACTCCACTTCCCCAATGACTTTGTTTCTCAACTGAAGGGTGGTAAACGACGGGCGATTGACAGAAGTGAGGGAAAACGACATGTAATTGGTTTTTGTAATGTTCAGAGTCAGCTTAAAGGTTTCCAACCAGTTTAAGGAGACCATCTTCTGCTATTTCTTTCACGCTTTGCCAGATGGACCCTTTGAAGAGAATTGCCGTATCATCGGCATAAGAAATTACACTACCCCTATCTATATTAATTGAAGTTAGGGAGTTTATATAAACTATGAATAGTAACGGTCCAAGTACCGTACCCTGTGGTATGCCAATCTGCACATTCAAAGTGTCACTGAAAACATTATTCATTTTTACCATCTGTTTCCTTTCATCAAGATAACTCGCGAATAAGTCCAACACGACTCCCCGCACTCTATAGGTATTTAAAACATCCAATAGAGCTACGTGTGGTACGGTGTCAAACGCCTTTGCCAGATCTAGAAACACAGTCATACAGCATTCATCATTATCAAAACAGTTGCTTATATTCTTTGTTAGTTCATAGATTGCATCGGTTGTACTCTTTCTATTAAAAAAACCAAATTGATTCTCAGTTAATATTTTATTAGATGTAAGAAATCTATTAAGCCTTGATTTGAGACATTTCTCAAATATTTTTGAAAAATTATTGATCACGCTGATAGGTCGATAATTCGTTATATCCTTGGGATTACCCGATTTAAGAATTGGTGTGATTATTGCCAATTTGAAATAGGAAGGAACAATACCAGTCGCAAAAGAGAGGTTTATAATGTGTACTAAGGGCTGTAAGATGTAAATGATATTTTTTAATTATTTTCGAATCGATGCGATCTGGACCTGGAGCACAGTTATTTTTCAAAGAGCTTATATGTTTTATCATTTCATTGTCATCTACAGGTGTTAGAAACATTGATGTTGCACAATTGTATTGAAGTTTGAATGGATTCGGTGGGTGATTAATCTTGTTAAACATTTCAGTGCCAACATCATTAAAGTATTGATTACAAAAGTTTGCCATTTCCTCGTTCCTTAAGAAAGGCTCATAGTGTTATTGTTCTCAATATGTATATCGTGATTGACTTTGGATGCAACTTGATCAGTTGCCTCCGAGATAATTTTATAATTTTTTTTAGAATCATTAATATTATTTTGTATCTTATTTCTGTAATAATCATGTTTTGTTTTTTTTATTAAAGCATTCAAACTATTTCTATACTTTTTGTATATTAAATTATCATTTGCATTATAATTTTTCAAAAGATTTCTTTTCAAAGTATCTCTAGTTTTTATAGACTTGATAAAGCCATTTGTAATCCACGGCTTATTTTTGTTTATCCGTTCAAGATTATACACCCTCCGTTCAAGAGAATTTCTAAAAATATCTTTTATAATTTTTGCGAATTTATTTGTAGCCAATTCCATGTCCATGGTCTCAACTACATCCCGCCAATCAGTATTTTTTATCAAATTTCCAAACGTATTTATATTGACTCTCTCGAAGGTCTTTGAAACTATACTATGTTTAGGGTGGCTTTTATTTTTGTTGTTATTATTTTCAGTGTTGAGGTTGATCAAAACAGGAAAATGATCAGTAATAGCCAGATCCAATATAAATGCATTCTCATTACACTGATTTTTAATTCTGTTTCTGACAAAGATATGGTCTATACATGTCATAGAAGTTGGGATCACGCGAGTATAGCCATTTATCATGGATTCAAATCCATATGAGTTCAGAAGCGATATATACAAGTTAGAATTATTGTTATCATTTCTATTCAAAATGTCTATATTGACATCACCTACTATTAGTTCAATTTGAGTAAATGTATTTCTTTGTAAGTATTTTTCCAAGTCAATTAAAAAGTTTTGAAGTTTACTGGATGGTGGTCTATATACACATATAATACCGAAAGATATATTATTTAATGAAAGACATAATTTAGAAAGTGAAACTTGTGACGTTGGCAATTTACTTTCCTCAATATTTACAATAAGCGTATTCCTCATAAAGATAACAACACCATCGTTCTGATTAAAATTACCCCTATTATAATAAATGGCATAACCAGGAATACAAAAGGAATTTTCATCTAAAATTTTCCAACTCTCACTCAAAACAATAACATCATACAAACAAGAATCATATGCCTGAAGGGCAATGAACTATAGCTAAAAACTGGAATGCGCACACATTGCCATATCTGCCAAAAAAATTAAGCCATGAAAGACAGATGCCACAAGGGGGAATGTTGTTTTTTCTGTTGCTCGCTGACATATGACGTTTTCGAAAGTTTTGTCATATTTCCCTTCACAGGTTTCATCAATTGGAATACGTGTTGGAAGCAATTTTCGCCATTTAACATAATGAGTGCGACAAAAACAGGTATCCCCTCCGCAGCAGACGCACTAGGCTTCAAGTTCGTCCTTATGTGTTAGCATTCCAGTTTTTGTTCATTGCTGAAGGGTCCCTAAGAGATTGTCAAAGTTTTTTTGAATACTTCTTATATTTAAATGTAGAATGTTCAATAGTTTAGAAGAATTATTTTTAACAACATTGTGTTGGAGTTTCTCGATTTGTATGAAAATGAGTCGGTCATTTGGATGGCTAAACAAAAAGACCACAAAAATCGAAATACAATTAATGATGCGTGGAAAAAGAATACAAGATAACATATCTGTCCAGTTTACTATAAATGAACTTCTTCCCTGTTTAATTGCTTTTAATTTAATTAAATAAGCAGAGCTCATCACAACAAAAGCGGCGGAAGCAACAACGATATTTTCCAGACGACTGCTATCCATATTGACTGCCACACCACTGTGCTCTAGTCATTTGTCAAGGTTTAGCCAAATGTTCGCGCTCGCGTACTTGTAAATTGTAACACGTCGTGTGAGCGCCCTTCTTGCCATCGAAATTCGCAAAGCTCGTATACTTGCCAAATACGCGAATAATTGTGTATTCGCCAAGTACACGAGTCGTCTGAGCCCGGCTTTAGACGTTTATGGAGAACTGAAAAGCCGATCATTTTGAAAATTTGGCAACCGGGATAAATGACCATAATCTACACTTTAAAAATATTTTTGTTTATGCGGTATTGCCGCTTCTACTCTAAACCAGTGGCAACATTGCTATTTTAAATAGAACACCCTGTATATGATTGCATATTTGGATTCTACGTAAAATTCTGAACAGATTTCATGTACCTAAGTTCAACTATTTTGGAAATATTGACAGTTGAAAATTAACTTTTTGCAACTTTGACAGGCTGTAAAACCTAAACGGTTAATTTTAGAGGAAAACCGATTTTACATTCCTATCTTAGATTTTTATAAACTATCATTTGACACCAACTTTGAATTTAATCCATGATTAAAAATTCCAATTAAATTTCATCTCCGGTTAAATTCAAAGTTAATAATTAAATAAACTGATGAGGTCATCTACCCTAACAGACACGGTTAAGAAAAGCATCATAAAAACAGAAGCAGTTTCACCACGACTCTAAGGCCTACCCAAAATTCACAAACCGGAAATCCCGCTAAGACCTATAGTGAGTGCACCTGGAGCACCAACGTACAATCTAGCGAAACATCTTGCATCGCTTCTTCAACCACGTGTAGGAAAAACTAGCTCTTACGTCAAGGACTCCACTCATTTTGTACGGAAAATTAGGCATATTATTCTTCAACCTAACGATATCCTGGTCAGCTTTGTAGTCGTGTCCCTATTCACAAAAGTGCCATTGCCAGAATCTCTTGACTTGATATCAAGTACCTTCCCCAATGACATATTTGAACTTTTCCGGATATGTCTCACTGGTAGTTACTTCCTGTGGAACGGCGATTTCTACGAGCAAACGGACGGTGTAGCTATGGAAAGTCTGCTCAGTCCGGTCATAGCCAACTTCTTTATAGAGGAATTCGAGAGGAAATCTTTTGACCACAAACCAACGGTATGGCTTCGATATGTAGATGATACTTTTGTGGTTTGGAGTCATGGGAAAGAGAAGCTTAACCAATTCCTAAGCCATCTGAACGAGCAACCTCCTAGAATTTACCATGGAAAAGGAGAAAAACCAGGAAATCGCCTTCTTAGATGTGCTCATAAAGAAATCTGGAGGAAAACTAAGCCACACGGTGTATCGAAAACCTACACATACAGACAGGTACTTGCATGCACTCTCAAACCACCATCCAAGGCAAAAACTTGGAATTATAACAACGTTAACAGAACGTGCTCGGAACTCTGCAAGCCACAATATCTCGAGCAAGAACTCATTATATTTTCCCATTTTATGTTGGGGTAGTTGAAATCTCCCAATATAAATGTTGGAGTATTACAAGCAGTTTTAATTATATTGATCATCTGGGTATTGGCTTGCTCGTTTGTAGTGTTTCCCGGCCTGTAGATATATGTTACAAATGTTTTTTTTTTGGTTCTTTGTATATCTAGCTAAACTGCATCTATTGGCGTATCTGTTACGTATTTCTCAAAAAGGCTACATCTCACTTGATGTCCATCTACTTCATCTTCGATAAAAATATATGCTCCGTCTCCTCTTTGGTTTGGACGATCATTTCTAAAGATACTATAGCCATCTAAATTTATAGTGCTCTCATTTTATCCATAAGCCTCAGTCATGATAATTATTGGGCTCTTTGCCAATGCCAATACTCTTATCTTTCATTCATCAAATTTATTCACCACGGAACTGACGTTGCTGTACCCAAATGAGATTTCAACTACTTCCGCCTGATTTTTTTTATATACAGGGTCATTGGACATATTTTGACCAATAAGTAACTTTTTTATTTGACATTTAATTTGAGTAGATTTACATTGCAATTATTTCTCGTCTAGATTTTCGCTAGATGTGATAATAACATCTTATATCTGTTTAGGTATGGGAAAAGAAGTGGAAAATCTTATAATGGAAAACACCGAACTGTTGGCGACTAAAAACGCCCTAAACGTGGTTAAGGACGATCTGATAGTCAAAGTTGACGAGCTGACCGGAGAAATTGACATGTTGCGGGAAGAAATTTTATCTCTGAGCGTTTCCAGGAACAAATTGCGGGAACGTATCGGAGAACTGGAAGAAGAATTACGAAAAGTGAAAGAAGCAAATGACGCTAAACAAGAAGCTGCGGCCGACGAGGAAGCTGACGTTCCTATGGCTCAAAGGAAGCGATTTACTCGAGTTGAAATGGCTCGGGTACTTATGGAAAGAAACCAATACAAGGTACATTTTAGACTTAGACAAACTTTGAATTAATGCCGTTTTTTTTTTTGTATAGGAAAGTTTCATGGAACTTCAAGAGGCAGTCCGCTGGACGCAAATGATCCGAGCATCACGCGAGCCCGCACTGGATAAGCACGCCAACAAAAGCATCTGGCGGTTTTTTCAGAATCTTTTCAGTGGTAACGCAGGCGGAGGAGATCACAAGGGGTTGCAGCGAGCCATGATGGTACCGAACCTGCGCTACCAGACTGCAACCAATCGGGTAACGCCCGGCTTAAAAGCCTTACCAGGAGCCAGGATGCAGGATAGAGGAGGCGAAGTGGTCGAAATGGGTACGGAATTGTAAATTTTTAGTTATTTTGCTTAGTTTGTAGCATCATGTTGTTACATGTGTAAGTTATTTATGGGTGAGTGTCTGTGATAATAACAAAGTAAGTCGAATGTGTATAAGGAAATAAGTGATTTGTAAATATTTTATATTAATTTAACATATACTGGTTTATGTTGAGGATTGTTTTTTTAATTAATTGACATTATAGGGGTTGAAGCTAAACTTATATTGGGTCAACTTTTGTAGAGTAGAAACTCTATTTTGCCTTTGCCTTCTAGAGGCCTTTTGATTATTTATAGAAAGTTTGTCGAAATAATACAATTCAATCAGAGTGGTTCTTTTTTGCTTCCACAATATTTACATCCCTTTCTAAAATCTGATATTGAGAATACACTGTATTGTCATTTGTTCGATATTCACCCAAAATTTCAAAATAACCAAAGCATGTTTTCAACTAACTAAAAGTTGATCCAACTCAATGTTGCAATGGAGTTCTAATTGGGAATTTTGTGCCAAAGAATTTATTGTCTTAACTTTCATGTGGCTTTCAGTTGCTTGGAGTGGACTACTTTCAATTCATTTCTTGTATCCCATCTGGAGGAATCACATTTTGCTGATCGTCAATTTCCAAATTGATAAATATTAATGAGGTTTATTTTCAATGCATCGGTTTTGGTATCATTAAGTTCCAATTTCACAAACTGGAGGTTCTGAACCTGTAGATTTTTGTTGTTGAGGTTTTTCATTTTAGAAAGTAACATTCTCTGTGATCTTAAATGTACCTAAAAAATTGTTCCTTGAACTCTCAAAGTTGCACATTTTGTAGTTTTCAAGTAAAACATCAAGTGTATTTGCAAAATGTGATTCTTTTTTTTGATGGAACCATTTTAAAAACTTGACTATTTCCATTTTCCAGGTCGTCATTTTTCTTATAAGTGCGCAATTATACTTATCTTGATGCTCTCTCCTATAATATTGAGTACCTACTATATTAATTTGTACATATAAGGTGAATGTGATACAATTAACCAAAAAAAAAAAAACAAAGAAATCTAATTAATATTGCTCAAACAAAATATAGACTGTTTCAATGACGCTTTTTAGTTTAGACATTTATTTATTTATAGAGACTAGAGACCATTTTTTATTTGTTACCCTCAATTTATTTATTATTATCTTTAATAAAACGTTTGATTTTCGTTTCGTTATTTCTTTTGGTTGCCTGTTTCCTTATTTTTCTAGAAGATGTAGCCGCTTTAAAATTGTCTTTTTAAGTAAGTAGACCCTTACGTGCGAATTTGATAAATCATTGAGCATTTTTTCGTTTAGGTACGGACAAGTTCGCCCTCCGGAAAGCTCTGGAACGGAAGGAACAATATCGACAGGTAAGAATCCACAATCATGTATATATTTCATTGAATATCTTGCAGTAGTTCATTGAACTTTATTTTGAATTTTTTGTTCGGATAATTATCTGAAACACTTTGAAGTTATTTGCTAAACTGTCACCATAATATAAGGTGTCAAAAATATCAAGGGCCACCATTGGTATTTCAGAAGTGGTAAAAGATATGAGGACGGTTAAATTAGGAAAAAGTTGTCATTTTCAAAGGATATTAAAACTATATTCTTGTTGTTAATAATAATAATATTATCGTTTATTTAAAATAGAAATTTTTTTTAAACAAATAAATATACACAGTATACAGTTACAATTGCACAACTGACCTGCCAGACCCGAAAGTTTTCCTTACTATTTGCATCAACGTCTGCTACAGCTACAGAAACCAAATGAAAAATTACAAAGACAAAAATCCAACAATGGTGAACAGAACGCTGATCCCGATATTATTGAAAACGTGTTGGTTTCGTAACAATTTAAAATCCTCTGCGGGAGAAATGAGACAAAAATACATCAGACCTCTGCACAGAAAACGTAAAATACGCAATTAATAGACAGTTGTTATTATTATGTATTACGTTGACAATAGCAAGCGATACAACCGATGAAGTTATTGTTCCTCCTTTTCGGGTCTTACTGAATTTGTTTACAAGCTGTAGTGGATCATTCTTTCTGAATTCTGTTTTAGCTCTGTATCAATGCGATTCTTGGAGCCATTTGTGTTTGGGGCCGACACAGTTTCTTGATGCAATGAGTTCCAAACACGGTTCACAATAAAGATTTTTCTGGGAAGGTTTTGCCAACCTTTCTTTTTCAAGCTTCTTTGTGTCTCCACGGAGGTGATTGTTATAACTCCAGGGTCCTTATTCCTGAAACAGGGAAGCAGCGTTTCCCGGAGTACGAGTGTCCCGTCTTTCTCAATGATATGCAACTGATAATATAAGTAATAAAGACGGAATACTCGTTCTCCTAGGAACGCTGCTCCCACCGTTTCAAGAATAAGTGGAAAAGATCTGTCACATCGCATTGATAAGTGCCGCTAGTAATCTTAAGGGTCTCGATTAAATCGCCTCTATGTTTTCGTTCTCTAAGAGTGGTCAAATTAAACTTGGTTAGTCTTTCTGGATATGATACATTTTTTAATTCTCTAGGGATTTTTGTTACTTCACGTTGTATTTTCTCCAGAAGTTCTATATCTTTAATGTAATATGGGTTCCATGCTGCAAAGGCATATTCAAGTTTTGGTCTTCTGTAACTTTTGTAGAAGTGAGTTTGATTTATCAAATAAATAAACGAATTTGCTTTTTTTTTATAAGTGTAATATATTAAAAATGTATTTAAATTATAAGTTGTAGGTTTTGGCGCTTTGCTTCATGCGCATTGTACTATTGCTCCCTTCTTCATAGGTGTAGATTTTTGGGTATAAGTACCAGCCATGTTGGACAGTACTCCCTCTCTATCTTATACCTTCAACCAGTAAACATTAAAATAAAATAAATCTACAATTATCAGTGTTTAATTTAACCATCCAAGTTTGCAAAAGGTGGTTTTCAAAAGTAGAAAACACCACAATAAGTTTTGGTTATGATGTGGCTTTCCCACTTTAAGTCTATGGTTATTAGAATTCCTAGATCGTTTTACTGATTTCAAGGTACTTTCGTCCAAATAATATTCATTATTAGAACTATTCGGGCCGATCCTTAGCACTGTGCATTTGGAGATGTTTAGTTTCATACCACCCCATTGATTTGACCATTTTCCAATATTTTCCAGATCAGTCTGAAGTAACTCTGCGCTGGTCAGAGGATTTGCATATATTTTGCAGTCATCTGCAAACAGTTTTGTGGACAATTTTATACATTAAGTTAGATCAAAAAGGTATGCTGTAAAAAGCACTTGGCCAACAACCGAACGAAAGAATGATATCAGCTCCCTAACTACTATTTTTCTCATGCATTTTAGGGGGTTACATGTGAGGCTGATAGGCCTGTAGTTCTCTAGTTTGTGGCGATCTCCTTTCTTAAACAGTGGTGTCACAATTGAATATTTCCATGTTTCTGGTATCTTTCCTTGTTCTCAACATTCCTGCATTACCCCTGAAAGCAAAGGACTGACTGAATTGGTACAATTCTGAAAAAAAACTGTTGGAATTCTATCTGGCCCTGAACTGGAGTCTCTTTTTATATTATTATTGAGAGCTTCTTCAATTTTTTCTGTTGTAAAATGTAGAGCTTCAATTCAAATCAATTGAGTTTTGTACCCTGCTATGGTTAGGCAATAGTGGAGTCGGGTATTATTCTTTTGTAAAGGCTGTATCAAACTGATCTGCAAATTTTGCAGTCATCGATTTGCCATCCAGAAACTGTTGGGATGTTGAATCTTTCAAAGTTATGGTTGAGACTTTCGAGAGCTATCATGAAGGATCCAGCGCCAACCGGCCCAACAGTAGCGCACTGCAATAATCGCGATGAACCTCGCATCTTTATTAGTATTAACTTGTTGGGTAGTATAGTTCGACGTACGTTACAATATATTTTAAACGGCGCATTCAATACCCTTAAGGGAAAATTGGAGGGTGGCAAAATAAGACAATATTATATTTCCATAAGCGTAAATTTTATTTTAAAAACACTTGTTAATAGAAAATAGGATATTTTATATCACATATTGATTGTTGAAGTTTTTCACAACAGTATAAATGCTAAATTTTTTTGCTGATTTCCAACCTTTAAATTCAAAAGAAATAGGCATGCTTACGAATACATTTCTGGTTTTCTACCTTCCTGGTGATACTTCGGAACGCGTCATCTAATGTAATTGACATTTTGAGGATCTGGGTAACTTTTTTTGTCATCCAATTTCATCACTTTCGCTTCACTTTCGGTCAAGTGGTGACTGCAACTCAACTTCAGAATCTTAAATGTATCCTGTTATATTAGGTATAGAATTTTTTTTTTATTGATAAGCCATTTCACTTATTTAAAGTACTCCTGAGCGTGTTTAAATCCAACATTCAAAAACGCGCGTGTTTTAAAGTTACTAATGACAATATCAACAACCAACAGCCCGAGAAAGGTCTAAATGTCAACTTTTTAATAGACCGATCTCCTATTACCTGGACTGCGCGCGTCGCTTGTAGGCTGCAGGTGAGCGTCCAATGAGAAGCAAGTTTATGACAGGCTTGAGTCATATTCTTATTCAGGGGCCAGTTCAGAATGAATCGTTCCTTCTTTCTTTGTAACGTGTAATTTAACAAAGAGCAAACTAATACTTTACATATTACTTGAACTCGCCGCAGTGTCGTTTAAGGTTATGTTAGATTATATTTGACATATTCCTTTGCAATTTCATTGAGCGATGTTGCCGGATGAAACATTTATCAAAATGAAAGTGCAAACGATGTTTATCCACTGTAAAGCTCTTCTTTTGTCTGATTCAAGGCGTTGTGAAACACTTGAGACTATATTACTTCTTTAATGTTATAATGTTCGATTTGTATTGTCTAAATTTGTTCTGCAACAATACAATCTGGCTACACTGCAGCCTACGAGTTGCGCGCGCATGTCATCTTTTATTGTTTTCTAACTTGTATTTATTACAATGAAGCTTCCTTTTTCTAATCACGGGAGATAGGTCTATTATTGATTTGTCAGTAGTAGCACAATACTTGAAGACAACGTCAAGTAAAATATAGCAAGTGTCAACGAATTTAGCATTCCACAATTATTAGTAATTTTTGATTTGAACGTATAGGTCCCAATAAAAAAAAATAGTATAAAGTATTCGTGGATAACTGGTCTTTAAAACACTTGTTCTATTTCGAGCACTCCGGCTGCGCCGTCGTGCTCGATTTATATCCACTTATACTTTTATACACTATTTCGTTACAAAATTAAATTACAAAATCGGCAATGCTATACCTATTTGTCAAGGCTTTTTTGAATAAAATGATAAGAATTACAAAGTGGAACATTTCGCGTCATTTCCGAAGTTATCACCTGGGTAAAATCTTTGAATAAAAAACTACAGGAAGGAGCATAACTTCGAATCTGCGCGACCAAAATATGTGGAGGTTGCATATGGCCGACTAGTATTTCCGGTTTGGCAGTGGCGTATATTTATTTAAATATAATTGTAAATATTATGACTCATTCTTTTCTCACTAATTCCAATACTTATTATCACTTAAAACCGCTAAAATCCATTAAACATCCACTTGAATGAGGACACAGCGAACCACCAAAACAAATGATGAGTCCAAACTTGGAGGCTCAAAATGGCCGTTTCCGTCCCTGCGTTGTCTGTAGTGACAGATAGAAAATGCTCCTTCCTGTAGTTTTATATTCAAAGGGTAAAATCTCGTGAAACGCCTTGTATAATATAAGTACCCCAGGGAAATTAGACCAAAAAAAATGCCATCTGCAGAATGAATTTTTGCACAAACCTTGGTTTTGATGTTCTTATGAAGCACAAAAAAATCGAATATACCTACCCTTGTGCGACTTGAGATATCGATGGTCAAGGGTCACGAAAATCGTTTTTTTGCGAAAATCTCGCTTTCAATGCATCTGTCGTCGAAGAATCCCAAACAAAATTTATATGAAAATATACATTTTTTTGTACAACATACCGTTTTTGGAATATAGCGTGATAGAGCGGGAGGCATGGAGGTAAGTAACACCCTGTTCCGCATTCGGCAATCCGTTCGACAACGGTTCGGTTTTTTAAATGTAACACCCGTGGTTGCATGGATGTGCGCTTTATCGGGTGTTACTTACCCTCGGTATTAGATAAGCCTATTTATTTACTATTACCATCTTGTAAATAATTATTTTAGGGCATTGAAATTTTAAAACTTGAGTATATAAGTGCAAAATATAATTAATATTGTTATATTAATATAAATTATACTGTGCGTTCATAATTTAGCAGATAAAAATAAAAGAGTGAATATTTCTCGAAAAATCTCAGACACTAATTTTA